GGGGGGGGGGAGGCGTGCACGTCGGCAAAAGCCAGGTCCGCCCCCGCTCGCGACCCCGCGCGCCCGGAACAGCGAGGCTCGTTTTCGTTTCATTTTCTGAGAGAACTCGCATCGGCATATCTAGATGTGATCGCGGTTTATGGTTCGCCGAGCACTTTGAACCGGTTAGAGATCAGGGCGTAAAAACCGAGTGGCCTAATGTGTCTCAGAAGTATAATTTATGACTTTTTTCAGAGTTTCTGTTAATACACAATCTTATTTGGACGCGTGCACAAGGACAGATCCATGCTCGGTACAAGATATTGTCCTTTCCATTTAGAGCGAGGGGGTTTTCACTTCTGAAATACCGTGTACACCAAATGAGGTATTTCACAGGTATTTCACGTGAAATACACCGAAATACGCCTAAATATGCTCCAAAACGGTGAACTTTTCCTGAGAAATACCGCCGAAATACACGTATTACGAAATACTGTGTGCACTGAAATCTCGAGTGAAAACCCCCTCGATTTAGAGTGCGCGCAGGTGCTCGGCCGGCCACGCCCCACCACGCCCCGCCACGCCCCGCCCCGCCCCACGACGACGAACGGGTCATGAATGAGCATCGACGTTGCGACGCGGACACCAGCGGCCGCGCCACGATAATAGATCAGCGAGAAGAAAGTGTAAAACAATACGAGCCAGCGACGGTAGACAAGCGGAGCGATACAGATGAGCCGTCAGAGAGACCCGGGGTGAGGGGGAGGGGCGGGGGTAGAGCTGTGCGAGCGAAGGTGAGGGGGCTGGTAAACGGTGCACCTTACCATAGAGCTAGCTAGCTGGTCCACTGCGCCAAAAATCAGCCGTTCCAATAATGACCGTCGGCAGACACCAACCTGAAAGACAGAGGGAAACAAATGGTTAGCAAATAAAGGGTTTACACACAGGTATTTTGCTGCATGTGCGAGTGCACCCGACGCTGTGTGTGTGTGTATGTGTGTGTGCAGGCGTTGGGGAGAGGGTGAGAGTGTGCGGCGAGCGAATACAAGCAAGGTGAGAGTGTTGTGGGAGATTGCATCGAGAGCGACTGAGAGGGAAGAAGGCGCAAGACAGAGAGAGAGAGCACGGGAGTCAATCTATTAAGGCGTTCAGGCTGGCCGCCCTCTGAGAATGGTCAGAGCAGGGGGCGCCTACCTCGTCGTCACAGCACAGAGAGATACTCCAAACAGCTGCGCGGCAGTGCACTCACACACACAAACACACACTCGCTTCGGAGTCCATTTGGCGAGCGTTCCGCTTTTGCTCTCCTCCTCCTCACCGCCGTTCGCGTCGATACGCCGAGCAGACGACGGGGGGTGAAAAGGCAAACCGCTCCGAGACATTTATTCGGGAGTTACGTGAGCAGATGCACGCGCTCCTTGTAGGGGGCCGCGGCAGAGCAGGCCGCCGGGCGCCGGGGGCACCACGTATGGCGGGGCCGCGCACAGCACCGGGGGGAGCACCACACCGTCACTTACTCACCAGCATGTCACACACACCAGACAACACAGGCGGCAAACAAAAAGGCCAGCGATATGCAGCAGCAACACGCCAGCTGTTTATCTTTTAATACTTTCTTTTCAAATTGGCGATACCGCAGGGGTCCGACGCCGGGTTCGCCGTCGCCGCCGCCGCCGCCACCTCCCGCGTGGCGCAGCGCGGCAAATCGGATCATCGGCAAGAGATCACTGCCCCGCACAGCCTCACCGTCGGGGCCGCAGCCGGCCGGCTAAACATACCAAACGGCCCGATTGCTTTCACTTACTGAGCGCCGCGCCGTGCCGCTCCCCCGGGGCCCCGGGCGGCGACGCCACACATATCTCATGTCGGCAGTGCATCCACCGAGGGGCCGCGGGGGCAACGCACTGTGTGCAAGTGCAGTGCATGCCCTTGTGCAGGACGAACACGAATCCGCAATAGACGACTCATTCCCCTCATTCCTCGTTCCTTCGTAAATCTAGCTGGCCCACCTGGAAATCGCATTGCTTTACATTTCCGATATATTATTTCCATTCATTTTTTTTACGAATTAAAAAGCAGCTTTGGTGAAAGAACAAAAAATTACCGACTGAACAAAATTTTGACAAAACCAGGTACCGTAAGAAACGAGAGCGCTTTTGGCAGTGGAGGGCAGCAGCGCGCACTGCTTCATACGTCAGCATCAGGGGGATGAGCGCACACCGGCGCACACGCGGAGGAGGCCGACGACCGCGGTGTGCTGCTCCAGCAGTTCGATCAGTTCAGTGACCGAGGCACACACGCGGGGTGGGGGAGGGGCAATAATGCCCGTACTTTCCATCACAAACCAAACCACACAACGGCCCCCCGCGACCACCACCACGACATGGGGAGGAGGCGGGCCCCCGCACTGGACACACACGGCCGAAATTAAAGAAGCCAGTTCCGGTTCCGCTCGGGCGAGCGGAACGGAGCAGCAGCACCACCGGCAGTGGGAGCTCAAGTGCAGGCAAAGGACCCCGCGGCCGCCGGGTAGCAGCGCTCGCCGGACCCCGCCGCCAGACACCTGTGCGAGGGGAGCCGACAAGGACAACAGCAGAGGGCCGGTAGAAAGATGTTCCTAGTTAGTATACAACGAAAGCCTAAAACCAAAAGTCAACAACCATCTTCCATATCAAGGGGATAATTATGACGATATTTTTTTTTTAAGGCAGCGTGCAATCGACAACGCTGCGAAAGAACGCAACAATGTAAAACCTCGCAATACAACAGCGGCTACAAAACCTTATAAGAAACCGCGCACTTTGCGCCGCGCACATCGACGTGTCCTGCTGGCGGTCCCCACAAAAAAAAAATGATGATAATAATCCGATGGGCAATGCATGACGACGCTGCTGCGGCGTTATGAAATGGAGGCCAGCAGGGGGGCCACCCGCGGGCAGGGCACGCGTCATGCCAGCGTAAGAGGCGCCGCCACGCCGCGCCACGCCCCAAATCACACACACACACCGGCCGCGCCGGGATCGGAATTAACCCCCTCACGCCTATTCAGCGCCTCAACTCGTGCAAGTCGCCCGCCGTCCATCCGCGCACGGCCTTGCACGGCAGGCCGGTCATCGCTTTCGCCCGGGCGACGTCGCCCCGCCCCGCCTCACGACGCTATACGCCAGCCCCGCCCCTCGGGTGGTGGGTGTGTTTTGGGCCCCAATACGCTCTGGGCGCGAATGCAACGCCGACGCCCCGCCCGCCGCTAAACGCCGCCGCGCTGCTCAACCCTTTCACTTTTTTCCGCGATTGGGTAACGCAGGGAAGGGCGGCAGGTCTGGAGCAGCTCTTGAGGAGGAGTGCCCTCTCGGGAAACTCGTGTGACTTACCGTCTCGCAGCTTACGGTGCAATACAAAAGTAGCTAAGTATTAGGGCTTCCGACACTTGAACTGTATTATACCCAACGCGAACATGGTAAAAACATTATCTGAATTTTTGGGAAAAGGGTTAAAACTTTGTCGATATTTGAGAAGAACCTCCTGAGAGAACACATTACAGATTACACAGATAACACATTGGGTGCAGCACTCAAAACCGTGAGACTGTCTACAACGCGCACAAGTTTTCGGAGCTCGGCATGGATTTGCTCTGGGGGTAGCAGCGCTACAACGGAGACGAAATTAGAGTTCTACCGGCTCATGAAATCGACACGCCCAGCAACGCAGCCTCAACGCCTGGAAATGGAAAGAGATGCAGGGAAGGGTCGGGTCCTAGCTGAGAGAGAGAGAGAGAGAGAGAGAGAGAGAGAGAGAGAGAGAGAGAGAGAGACGCAGCCAGAGTCGCACGGAGGAAAATTTATTGCACGGCGAGGCTTGTGGCAAAAGACGCTAGAAAAGTGGGGCCGGGTCCGAGTAACGAGAGCGGCCCCGCGCCAGCCAGCTCCGGCCGGAGGTTGAATTTGACATTCCGGCCCGAGTTTCGAAAGGAATAGAGAAGCCCGCCCGCTGGCATCATCGCCTCACCGATAGATCGCGAGCAGCGGGGTGGCGAAACAATCGATATCGATTGGTATTCGCGATAAACAACGCGCGAGCAGAGCACGTAGCTTAGCGCGAGATGGAGGAGTCGGGCGTTGCGTTGGGGGAGAGAAAAAAAAATACTGAAATAACCGAGGTGTGGCGAAATTTGGCTCGTGTCGCCCTTATGTCCCAACAATCAGCTGTAGGAACAACTTGAACCGTTTCTGCGGTTCTAATGAAGATCTAAACACGCTCGTTACTACAATATATCGCACCTATCTTAACCCTCTCCTCGGTAAAATAGTGTTCCGTAACCTATCGTCTGAAATATGAAAACGCATATCATGCACTCGCGACTTGTGTCTATCCAATAGCCGTGCCGACAATGTGAAATAAAACGATTCGTATTGGAATGTTTTGCCATAGGGGGCTCGTCGATAATAAATCTTTAACTCTCACACACACGCGCGCACATCCAGGTGATAAGGCATCGTTATGGCACTAAAGGCGTTTACGGCGCACTCTGTGTACTGTCGATAGGATTTCATTTTCAGACGACGATAGTCGCCTAGTTGCACACCGATGGCACTAAATCAAATTTAGCGCCAAATCAGATATATATACACCGTCGAGGAGCGAAAGGGACCGCTTGCTCGGCATCCGTAATAATGCAACACGTCGCATTGCTGGAAGGACCCCTCCCGGCGCTCTTATTTCGAGCGGACACAACAACGGAGAGACAAGACGATGAAGCGTGCGCTTTTCACCGCGTCCGATGATATACGCCGTAAACACGCAATTAAGTCCCCCCGTCCGTTCTGGCGATGGCGGCAGATAGTGCTCCGCGTGGAACTCTCTCACCCCAGAGCAGCGGCTGCCCGCACACACACGGAGTATGCCGCGCATTTTTCCCCGCACGGGAAAGGAAAACCAACATAACTTTTGCATTGCGATGAATAACGATAAAGTTACTCAAGAGAGCGCACAGCAAAAATATGAAGAGGGGAAAAAGGAAACACAAAAAACACTACGGGCCTTCGTTTACCTCAGTGAGTGAGGTGGCTCTCCAGCTCGACACTAACACTTACTCCCCCGAAATACACACACATAATCTAGGCCCAATTATATTCAAATTAGCAAAACCTAACGGGGCGGGGGACTGTTTGTTTTTATAATATTCCGCATAGCTCGGGGAATTTGCAGGTCCGACGCCACGGTGCGGTGGGGCTCGGCCTGACCTCATCAGGTTGCAGGGGTCGTTGGCCGACGCGGAGAACAGTATGTTCACCTCGAGGAACTGAATCGCGAACTGGTCAATGCGCACACACGCAACAACGCCGCAGCAGGACTAAAGAAAACATTTGTCTTTTTAAAGTGGATGCGGAATGGCAGTGCCCTGCGTTCAAGTCTCCAAGCTCACGAAATAAAAACAGGTAAATGCATCAACAAAAACAACACGCCGGTCCTTCTCTCTTCTATCCCTGCCTATCCCTTACCCCCCCC